ACGCAGCTCAACCTGAGAATCCCTACTCTCGCTTAGCCTAGCGCTAAAAGATCGCGCTCGGCGTCAGGTTTGGCAAAGACCTCCTCAAGGAATTGCGCCTGAAAAAATTATAATTTCGCCTGGTGTAGAAATTCTGGAACTCATATTAATCCTTTACATATGCGCCCGACACTAGGAACTAGGCCCAGCACGATTGTGAATTCCTCAACCCAAAAACATGAACAACACGCACCCAAAATCCATTATCATCATACAATCATCCTCTATACACTCCAATCAGTCAAAATTTATCAAATTCACTCGAAAATACACTAGCATCCATCAATTGCCCAAAAAATGCATCAATTGTTCAAATCCCAATTCTCTATAACCCTAACCTACTAGCACATTTTAAACAATTTTGTCTCCCATCCCTCACGTTCATTTCCAATAATTAATATAAAAATATGGATAAAAGCACACATAGAACTTATTGAAATTACTAAACATCTAAATAGAAACTTATAAAATTTCTATAAATCCTAGGGAACCCTTCCTCTACCTATTCCATCATATGACTCTACATATAAATTCCATTTTTCCCCCCGTACCTGATTGCATTAATCGAAATACTCTTGTGCAATGGAAGTCGCTCCTGATTTCTTCTTGGGCACTCCTCCTTAGAGTTCTTGCTTTTTCCTTTCTTTTTCTCTCACTCCTTCAAAAATGCCAAAATGAGACTAATGAGGGTTAACCTGCTAACCCCTTCCTTTACATTCCCTCGGGCCGGTCAACCTAACTCATTACCCTTCCCGACCCGCTTCTCCTTTTTCTCAAATAAAATACATAATAATAATACAAAAATGTTTTTCCTTTAATAATAATAATAAAATCAAATATTTCTCACCCCAAAATATAATAAAAATATAATATTAATAATAATATTATTTTCTAAAAAATAGGGTGTTACAATGATGATGATGATATTGTTTATGTTGTTTATCTATGTATCTTTCATATATGTTGTCGAGTGATTAGATGTTAGCATGAGCCTATAGTGTTTGTAGTTGAGTCGTATGCTTATGCATGGTGTTAGAGTGAATGTAGGGAGGTTTTAAGCCTTTAATTCATAGAGTTGAGTGAGATGTTGGGAAGATTGGATCCCCTTCACCCACTTTCATTTTGAAAATGCCCTTAAGGAAGTTTGAAGGAGAATGATGAGTTGAGATGTTTGGCTAAGTTGTTAGTAGGAGGTGCTAGTTGATTGGATCTCCAAAGCCTAGTGCTTCGTGGTCCCATATAGGGATGGGATTTTACAAAACATGAGTCTCCTTCAAACACTATTTTGAAAATGGTATGTAGTGAACGTTGCATACTAGCTATTGAATAGTCGTGTTTGGCTTCCATATACCTTGATGTTGAGTGGATACGTAAGTCATGAGTGGTCATTGGGGGTGTACCTTGACCTAATGTTAGAAAAGTGCATGGTATCTTGGGGTTAGGTAGTGACTAATTCGATAAGCAACTTGGTTGTTGCATACCAACGTCATGATAAGCTCATATCCATTTATTCTATCTCAATGGTGATACTAGACCTTTCAAGTCTATGTTGATGATACCTAAGTGATTAAGATAGTTACTATTTGATAAGGTTAATTCTAGTAGGTTGCTCATATAAAAGAAGTCCATTGTTTATGTGTGACGACACATGGTGCAAGTAGGCATATTGATGTTTGATATGCTAGATGTAACATATGACAATGAATGTGTGTTGTGGTTGTGCATGGTTCCTCTATGGTGGGGTTATATGATGATGTGTGAGCAATTTGAGGTTTGAGTTGAATGTTATGTTTATTCTACACACATTTTCTTATTATTATATATTTTATTGTTGTTTATCAAGCTTACCTTGTTGTTTGTTATGTTAATTACAATGATCATATTTGATATGAGAGCATACAAAATTTAGTTAGAGGATGGCTATCTTGGAGCTGTTGTGGCCATTTAGATGTTGGTTTAAGTTTGAGGCATGTTGGTCTTATGAATTTATTTTTGTTGTTTTAGGATCAGCTTAGGCTTGGGTGTAGAGTAGTTTTAATGCTTACATTTAAATATTGTATATTTTAGGATTATAACCCCTTAAAAGAAAGTGATTTACTACTTTGATAATTAAAAATTATTTTATTATTTTGATTTTGATCATTGAGATCTTGAATGTGTTATATAATATATATATATATATATATATATATATAAACAGT